CTCCCTCCCCTTTAAAGATCTAATTCCCCAACCTTTTATTTTCGACACTACAGAACATCACCGAGCGGGTTTTGGTCAATGAATCCATTTGGGCGTTGAGGAGACGAGAGGTACTGACATATTTGTGTCTAGATTTCTATAGAGGTACCATGTATTTTTAATTGCAAGTCCTAGAAGAGTCTCTAGAAATTTGCAAGGATAACGTAGCTTGCTAGAAGCTGTATAGCAAAATATGGAATTTGCTGTGGAGATTGGCGTAAATTTTTTTTCTTTGTCATATTTTAATAACTGGGAACTGTGAATGCAGCGCCGGTATGAGATAAAAGAACTTTGAACAGACTTTCAATAGAATACCCTCCGATTCATAGTACGGCAGAGTTAGTGTTTGAGGCGAGGAGGCGTCCAGTCTCTCAGAACTAGACTTTCTGTAGTTTTACCTACTAGATTTCACAGTCAAGCAAATGTCAAACGTAGAGATTAGTTTTTGACTCCATAGCTGCTTCTCGCGTAGACGGTTGTGATTATTTGTAATGTAGTCTCACAGACTCACTACCACTAACAAATTAATGGCTAGTTTGGTCTTTGTAGAGCATCAATGGTCAACATGCTACTATTAATGTTATTATTGCTAATTATTTTGTTACTTTGAAGTGACGGGTTTAGAGAGTCAGACCTGCAATAAGGCATGGCGTTGTGTTCACTTTCATGCTTATTCCTTGGTTAAGACTCCACAAACTGGTCTACTGTCCTGTCGTTTTTTGCCAAATTTTCATCCTAAGACTTGGAGGACGTTAGAATACTGCTATGTTTGCCATATTTTTTAAGTTTTAAACTTTGCCATGAAAGTTATAAGTTTACTTCCCCTTGTCAGTCAGTCAAGAAGCTTATGTTTACACGAAGCTTATGTTTACACGAAGCTTATGTTTACATAAAGCTTGTGTTTATATGCGAAGGTCTAATATAGAAATAGTGAAGTTACAGAGCAAATTATTTTTTATAAAGTTAACTGTCTCCGTTGAAAATATACACCCACATTCCATAACATTATTTATATTTCTTTGCATTCCTGCAAGCTATTTTTTTCCATGCGTATTTCGATTTATGTTGTTTTTAGAGTAGTCCCTTATGACTTCGTTTCTATGTTCTGCTAATTTTCCCTGCTTTTGATTAAAAAAAATTGGCTAATTTTAAACCTGATGACTCCTTTATAGGACATCGATTTTCTAAGCATCCAGTATCAGTGTATTATATATTGTTTATCTTGTTTCCTATTTGCACCGCAGTAAGTCTCCAAAACATTCTTGTAAGCTTCTTTTCATCCGCATGCTTTCGCCTTGCTCTTTTTATGTTCCTTGTAATTATACCCAAAGTGGGGAAAGATAATTATGATATACAGCTCTTTCACTTCACCCCTCTCATCACCAGCTTCTTTTACTCCAAAGACTTGTGACCCACTCCAAAGTGTTTCGACTACTGTCTCCACAGGTGCGGACGGCGAACTTGCTTGGTGTAGCAGGTACTGATGTCCCCATACGAGAGATAGAGAAGCTGGTCCCACCTTATAAGGTAATCAAAACTTACAGTTCAGCACGAGAGTAGGTAGAGTTTGTGAAGTTGGGAGGATGACCAAACAGGAAAAAAAAAAGAGAGAATAAAGTGTAAGGAATGGGAATTTTGGAGTTGAGAAATCGAGAATGACAGATACAGAAGGCTGGAAGGGGCAGAGACACATGAGTACTTCTCTTAAAAGATTGTGCACAAGCATCGTGGCTCTGGCGTACAACAGTTAGAAGAAAAACAGGAAGTTCAAAAACAGTGGACACTATCATCAGGGAAGGGAAACAGTGAGTTAGATTTTCATTAAGTTTTGAACTTTATATATATATAATATTATATATATTATATATATATATATATATATATATATATATATATATATATATATATTATTATATATGTCGTGCCGAATATGTAAAACTGGTCAATTAGCAAGAACTCATTTAAAATTAAGTCCTTTCTGAAACTTTCTCTTATACGTTTAAAGATATATTTTTTTCATTAATGTTAATGTAAAAAAATTTAATTTTGCACCATAAGAATATTAGAAAACTTACCTAACCTTATTATAACAAGAGCAATTTATTTTACCCTAACCCAACTAAATATATTTTAAATACGTTTATAATAATTTAATACTAAACAAACACAATCAAAAATATTTTTTTCGTTAGGTTAAGAATAATTTTCGCGAAATTATTGCATACACAAATTTTCACTTGTCCTATATGGCAAGATGAGCGTTGCTATTTAAGCCAAGATCGCAAGTTCTGCCTATTCGGCACGACATATATATATATATATATATATATATATATGCAATAAAATCACAGTAAACAGTGATTTCAGAATATGCAAAACAACCACTTGAAAGAATAGGAAGAATTCAAAAGAGCTATTCGTGACTACTCACATTATCAAGTGAGTAGTCACGAAAGCGCTT